AGGGACCTGATGTTCAGCAGACATTTTATCAAACTCATCTATGCAGCATAGTCCACCATCTGCAAGTACCATGGCTCCTGCAGAAAATGTGTTTGTTACAAGAATGAATATAAAATCTTATCTTTCCACTGTAAATCCGATGTAGATCAATCCAATAGTTGTCTGGTTCATGGGTGAAAAATACATTTGAACTGAGCTAGTTCATACCCATCAAACAACTAGGTTGATACATCGAAGAGAACATGTATCAGCTTTCAAAGAAGGGAGAGAAAGAGTCAACTACAACTACCAGCCTCGAAAGCATAGTCACTTGTCATGGTGTCCTTCACTACAGCTACAGTTAGACCAGCATTGGTTGTTGCATTGCCACAAACATATATTCCCCGTGGGGAAACAGCAGCTGCTGCTTGCAGTAATTGACTCTTCCCCAGACCTGGATCGCCTGGTAAAATAGTAGTAATTGTTAAGAATCAAACAATCGTGTTTATCTGCAGAAATTTTAAAGGATGATCCCACTGATTACTGGATGATAATCTGACTATAAAAGACGCAGATAAAAATAAGCATACCAACAACAATGACATGGATGTCTCCTCGGACTGGAACCTTATTCTGATCCATTGAATGTTTCCGTACACCACCAAACAATGACAAAGTTATTCCAGCTGTTGATAAAGCCAATATATTCACATAAATACAACATCACATAATTAATTGAGAAATATTTGACCATGTCTGTCCATGTGTTACACTAATTGTGATACTTGGCATGGGTTTATATAAAGCAAATTTACAGGTTACAATCATATACAATGGGTTGGTGGCATGGTAGTCTTGTAGTGGGGGGATGTAGTGCCCCAAAATGACAACAGAGCATAATGGATTAGCCAATTTTTTTACCATTTTAGATGGCAACTTTGACTAAGTTTGCTCGTTCAAATTCAAGGTTTACCTTTAACAAGCTCGTGCCCATAGATGGATGGACATATGGATTGAAGTATTTGGCGAAAGACATCTGAACCATGCTCTTCGCGAAACTTCACAATAAATTCCAAATCCCTTGGAGAGAAAGAGAACAAATCTACAAGCTCTGTTGATCTAGCATCACCGTTTGAATCTTCCAAATCTTCAGTCATGGATAGCGACTTGGAATTTTTCACAGAAACTGCTTCTATGTACAGATAGTAAAATCCTTGATTTCTGCCTTTGGATTTTCCTGAAAAGAATCAAAGTTTTTCCCAAACTATATTACTTGCAGAAAACTGGTAGGTGTAAGCAAGTCTTTGATTCATTCCATCCTAATGTACTTCAAATCACAATCTCCACACTCGTAAAATTCCTTGTTTATATATAATTGCAATAACTAGAAGGTACCTTATTAACATTGCCTCTGCCAATGAGATATTGTTTGTAAAGCTATTTCAAATTCCAGGATAAACTAGTTATAAGGGAATTTATTTATGTACCTCCTCCAATATCCATGTAATTGTTGATAACTCTTATAATTCCAGTGACTGTTACTACGTCTCCAGGGATGCACACATCAACAAGATCTTCGGTCAATTCACATTCTACTGTTCGAGGTACACGACCTTCTTCATGATCCTCGGACTTTAGTAGCTCCTGTAACCTGGAATTTGTGTAAACAATAAAGGTGAGAAGCCAGTTTTTCCTTCTTAATGTAATGGACTGTTATTAAGACGTGTGGCTATACAATTGTGCATGGAGTTGCTACGAAATACTGTAACATCTTGCATCAAGTTGTTTACCTTATCTTCTGAAAATCTATTGCTTGAGCCGAGGATCGAATTGGTCTGAACGTTCTACTCTTGCAGCCATGTAAAGTACACCGATGGTGGTGAAAATTTTCCATCAGGAAATGAACGGGGAATCTCAGTTGTACATTTTTCACAGGAAAAAATCATTTTAATTACAAGAGGCTTGACAGTGCTAGCTTTTACCACTGTACCACGCACAGATACCAGTTTATCTGCATATATAATCAAATATCTATCATTTTACAAAACAACAACTGGATAAGCTGATACCCACAATGATCGCAATAGCATCCATTTTGTCCACAATAGCGGTAAATGTAAATTAACCAAAAACAAGGCTGCAACCGCAATTTAAATCTCTGTGGATAACTATAAGTGCAACTATAAGTTGGAATCGAAGGGTACCAATATATGCTGCCTTTAAGTTCTTCAAAACAATCATGGATTCAGGGTAGTTGTGCAGACGGATATTAATCTTCATTCCTTCTTCCAAGTAGAAATCTGGATTGTTTAATAAAACCTGCTCTGATTCTCGGTTAAACCAAATTTAAATAAAATTCAAAATTACTTCTTTCCATCATTTATTCATACCTGGTGAATAGCAACACTCATGGTGGAAAGAGCTATTTTAGGTTTATCTTCCAATTTTGCATAGAATTCTTCAATATCACATGATTTTCGAAATTGTTGGTAATCGAGAGACAAAGAAACGGCACCACAATCATCCTTTACCTGTTCATGATAAAACCGCAAAGCTTGTAGCTATAAATTGGGGTTGCAGCTATTCATTAATCGGATTTAGAATTTAAAATATAAAAAAAAACTAAGCAGCTGGAAAATTGCCGATATATGACAATAAAACTAAGAATTTAGTAATAACAAAAGCAAATCCCTAACCAAATCGTCCATTTATGTGCGTAATGCACCTGATTGAGAACATCAAAAACATATTACGGATCACTGTCGATTATTTGACCACTATAATGAAGTCAATCAGAAAAATTAAAGAAAAATAAAATAAAATGTCTCCTGATTCGCGACTAAAATAAAAGGGAGAGAAAAGCAAACCTGATGGGCAAGATTTTTCCCTGGAGGAACAGAGAAGAAGCGAATGAGCTCAACGATCAGTTTTTCTTCGTCCTTGGAGTACTCGCTCTCGGTAAAATAAACGGGAACGATCGAGCCAACGTTGCTTGAGTTGATCGAACCAAACTTTTCAATTGAGCTCTCTCCGTGGGATTTGAACATCTCGACGTAGGTGATATTAATTTGGACACAAGTGTTCGTCAAATTTTCTTCTAAATTGTATCGTAATCCGCAGCTTTTTTGGCGGGAAAGGTGCGAGAGGGAAAATAAAAAACGTTTTATGTACTTCACTATATTGTTTTTCATCGCTTTAGAAGTGAAAATAAATAGTTTAGATTATTTTATTATTTCTTTTAAAAAAATTAAACTTTTTACTGTTAATCACTTAATCTTATATATATATATATATATATTTATTTTTGATTAATCTCTAGTAAGTACAAAATAGTATATTCTAACGTAACTCTCAATTATTTGACATTGAATGCTCACACCCTTAACATACATATTTATGTGTGTATATACATAAGGATAAGATTTTATTACACAATTTAAAACTCTTTTAATTTTACATGGATTTAGTATAGTTGGAATAGTGAAAATAGATGATTAAGATTAATAATATGAATTGAGAATATATTCACTGAAAAAAAAACAAAGAATCAATCTCAACCATCAATTTTCACTAGTCCAACAGTCCTAAATCTATGTAAAACTAAAAAATTTACATTGTGTAAGTCGATCCTAACATATATATTCATGTGTATTATATGATAATAGATTGCATGAAAAACTATGTATTTAGTCATTAAATTATTATTTTAGTTGCTTTGTTTATCTATTTTTTTAAATTATCACAAATGTTACATTTCGATTTCATTTTTATCATTTATCGTTAAATAATTAACAGAGTTGCTGACATGATATTTTATTATTTCAATTATGATGTGATATTATCTTATGATGACACGTTAGCATCATCATTAATTTTTTAATAACGGGTGATCGAGATGAAATTAAAACACAATATTAGTGATAATTTTGAAGGAAAAATAGTTTGATGGATAAAACGGAAAAAAATGATAGTTGGGGGCTAAATACATAGTTTACCCAAGATGGTATTGATTGTAATTCTAACATTTTTTAGCAACCGTCGGATGGGGATAAATCCAACGGTCCAATCCGATGACCACACACATGAATACCGGCTCCAGTGTACATACACCTGAGTGAAAGTGACGCTATTTCTTTATATTCTTCTCTACAATTAATTTAAAATTGAACCGCTTCTTCTCCCAAATTCAAAAATTTTCACTTTTCCTTTATTTATTTCCCTGTGACCGTCAGTCGTCTTGCTTTTCAATCCTCCATCTTCATTCAATTCAATTAACTGATTAAGCTCCGATTCTAATCTCTGTCTGCAAATGCTTGATTCTGAGGAGCAAAGCGATCTCAATATCAAAGGGCTAAGTCTCATTGATGTTTCCTCCGAAGACCATTGTCTCATCAACTCGCCGCTCTGCGATCCGATAATTCCTCAATCATCAGGTTTGCATAGAATTTAATTTACTCTTCTGGATTTTTCTTTTCACAGTGGCAAATAGCTAGATTTGCTTGATTTTTAGTATCTTTTAATTTAAAGCTGTTTTGAGTTTTGTTTACCGGAAAAAAGTACCTTATGCTAATAATGTTTAGAAATTATGTTTAATGTTTTCGGCCGGTTTATTAGTTATTATCAATAATTGGCTAATAGAAGGAATAGATGTTTAGCTACTTTTTCAATCTTCTGGAAGCATTTTCTCGTTACATTTAGCTTCGTTTTACACTAAATAATGATACCTTTTGGATTTTGGGAAGCAATTTCTTATTAACATTAGATAATTTGGGCTACTTTTTGAGAAGTCTTAATTTTTTCCATTTTAAAATTTTTAGTCTACTGTTGACATGCTAGTATTTTTCATCAAAAATTGCTGTGAGTACACCCATGTAGTCGTATCATCTTCATAAACAAATCAGTAATCAACTCAGTAAACATAGTCTGTTAGTAAGTAAATTGAAACGGAAATACCTCTTTCAACGATTTCCAGAATGACAGCATATTTTGATTTTCATTTTGGTGCGAAAGTTGAAGCTTAATCTTATTTTGCCTTTTTTTTTTCGCTTCGCTTTTCTATTGTACAGAGAAGGGAAGTGAAACCAAAACTGTTAGGTTCGCTAAGGATCCCGAGAGCATTGAAATCTCATCAGGCTCCCATGAGCCCCATGAAGAAGGTGGAAAGGCAGAGGAACCAATGGAGTATTCAGAACAAAACAAGACAAGTAAAAATGGAAAATATAATTTACGCAAAAGTTTAGCATGGGATAATGCTTTCTTTACTAGTGAAGGTACACATTCGTTGATTTTATATGCATTCGATCATTTATTATTCTAAATTTCTGGTTTTTGATAACGTTTTGTACTATATAACTTAGGATTTCTGGAGCCGGAGGAGTTGTCTAGCATGCTGGGAGGCAATGAGAAAGGTCATATACAAACATTGCCTGTGATTCAAGAGGATGAAAACAAATCTTATGATTCACTAACAACGTTGGATTCTGAAACCTTGACATTGGAAAGCTTTGAGGCTGATTTATTTGAGGATGTAAGAGCTTCAATCCAAAAATCTAACAAAGTTTCTGTCACTGTGAATTCTAGTGGCAGAAAGGAGTTGAAAACAACAGAAGGTAAAACTGTGTCATGTAAGTATAGTTTGTTTCCCTTTTGTCTCTGCATTGTTTTATGTTGATGCACCCAATCATTTTTCTTTTGATTCCCCTTAAATACAACTTACATATTTACATTGTACTCGAGTCTAGAGCTCAACTTCACATTCTAGGCGTGTGTTCATGGCACAAAATATTCTCAAACTGACAATGTCATGTTCTCTGTTTATTCACAGCTTCAAGAAATGTAGAACTTACTACACAAGATAAGGTACACTCAAGAAATATCCGGTGCAATAAATTTCATTCCTAGTTAGTTTATTGTATTTCTTTCCAATAACATCTTTTTTCCCGAAAAATAAAAATCAGTTGCTAATTTAATGCAAATGAACTGTTAGTTGTATCATCTTTTCTAGTTGAGATAAAGATGATATTACTCAACAAGATAGTGTGTTGTAAGTTTTAAAGTTCTAAATCAGATTTTTTAGGGAAATTAACTGGCTTGTTTGTGTTATACAGGTTCATAGAAAACAATGCTATAAGCTTGTAAATATTCACTTATTGCAACTGCTAAACATGCATCCATATAACTGCTATTTACTACCACTGAAGACTGATTTTTTTTTTTTTTTTTGCTTATATAAACATAAAGACGGTAAAGTCTGTTGCTAGAAGTGGGGAATCAACTTCATATCTTCATAAGCCACCAAAGGTTTTAAGCAGTGTCGGTCCTTCACCAAAAAGGGTTTCCTTGGGTGCTAAGAATATCAGAATGGAAAAGGATACAAAAACTGTTGCCGGTAATTCAAACTACTATTTGTGTAAATTAACTTCATCTAAATGGAGGATGTTTTCTTGCTCACTTTTTCTGCTTAATTCATTCTCCAATTGATTTTAACTGCTGCAGGTAGAGAAACTACAGTATTAAAAACTCCTTTGGGTGGTGCTAGAAACATTGTGCCTAGGTCTAAGCCATCTTCGAAATCTTCTTCTTGCTCCCCAGCCTCTAGCAAAACGGAGCTGAATTCTTCTTGTTCCTCGCTTGAAAGTTGCGCCAGTATTTCTTCTAACAGAACTAATGTATCTTCCTTTAATTTGATTAAACATAAAAATGGCTCCGGAATTGTACCAAAAAGTAAAATTCAAGCAGGAAGTTCAAAGCTCCCAACTTTTTTGAAGTCTTTTAGCAACATCTCTTCCAGTATCTCTCCTGCAAGCTCTATCAGTGAATGGTCCTCAGAGTCATCATCTATATCTGCTTCTAATCAAAGTTCTAATGTTGCAAGAATTAACCTTAGCTCTGTCTCCCTCAAGGGACCTGCTATAAAACGTGATGTGCACTCACAGAACCATCCAACTGGTACGTGCTCACAGGGAGATGGTGCTGAGGTTACTGGCTCGCTCAATGAAAGTGAAAACAAAGTTTCTGCTGGAACTATTAAACTTCTTCACCCTGCTTCAGTGAAACCATCTGGCCTCCGCATGCCATCACCAAAACTTGGCTTCTTTGACGGGGTTAGTTCTTATTTCTAAAAGTTTCTCTAGTCTTATACCATTTCAGAAGTGGTTTATACTTGAATTGTTTCAAGAACAAGTAGACTGAGGTTTCCATATTAGAGTCTTGATCTTCTGAAGAAAAGAGTATATAACTAGTTTATGCCTATTTCAAGCTCTAGCTTGATTTGTTGGTCTGACTGTTTGAAATTGTGATAAATGCAGGTACGATCATCAGGACGCACTCCAAATGGGAGTATGCTGTCTCATCCTGGTTTACCTAGTGGTTTGCCTAAAATTGGAGCAAAAAACACTAGTCCAAGTGGAAGCTCAAACAAGGAAAAGATCGGAAAGCTTCAGCCTGTTAGAACTCTTACTGCAATCCAAAGCCCCAAGGTTGATGTTAAGCAAACTTCCTCTGCTATAAATTCGAGATCTTCCTTATCTATTCGGAAATCTCCAATTGCTGCAACATTGGCACGAAGTTCTTCAATAAACCTCAAAACCAGCCCTGGCATATCTCCAAAACTCCAGAATAAATCCTCCCCTAGAAACGGTATTGATTCGGCTGAAAAAGTAGCAGGCCAGGGAAGCAAGGACGGTGCTGACACAAAGGATACCAAGATTGTTCCTGTCGATGTAGTACTTGAAACAATTTCTAATGTAGCTTCCAAGTCCAATGTTGAAAATAAAATTTCATCAAAAGAAGAAGCTGAAAATGATACGCACAGCTATACATACCTCAAGACTAAAACAGTTCTCCTTTATGACGCCAGCAAGGAGGAAGCTACCGTCAAAGACGAAATCAACACTGTCAGGAAAGAACCTATTGATAAGTTCGAGAACAGTTTGTCAAATCTCACTCCAACCTCTCCATCCCCAATGACTTCTGAAGTTACTTGTGGCTCAAGGATACCTTTCTCAGTCAAGGATTCTTTTTACAATACAGATGCATCGCATGATGTACTATCAGGATTAGCGGCAGCCGAGAAGACAACCCCATTACCATTTCTGGAGAGCACCTTTACTGAGAATAATATCTAAGCGCAGCAGTCTAGTTTCAGATTCTTTCAAGGTACCTTGGTATGTGCCTTTTCCAATTATTCTTATTTGGAACTTTTTTTATACAAGTCTTATAGATTCGGTGATAAACTTTGGTTATTCAGTAGAATTGATTCCCATGTTCAAATTCCACCTGTTTCGGATATGATATTTATCATGGAGATAAGGCGGTCCCGGGTTCGAATTTCTCTAAGTTCGAACCTGAAGTACTATTTCATGGAGGTAGTGTCTAATGAGGCACGTTTCGTAGTTTTTAAGGGTTGAACTTGAAGTGCCCAATTTATAGTGCCAAACAAATCTTCATGAATAATGTCTGAAAATTTGCTAGTAATGGAATTTCTAGGTCTTGGAACCTTACAAAATTTCCTTGTTCGTACTTCATTTGTACCAGTAGAAAATATTTTCATGAACTGAGCATCATGCACCATCTATTACATATACCTATCGAATGCAGATAGTTTAAATAAAACTAAATAAGATCTGTGTAAGTTTGCTTCGAAGTTTGGGCATGAACGGATTCTTCTATTGGGAACCATATAGTATGAATTTTAATATTTACAAATATTGAATTTACTTTTTGGGTAAACTACAAGTTTAGTACCTAAACTATCGGTTTTGTTTTGTTTAGTACCTAAACTTTCATTTGTTTCAAAATCATGCCTAATATTTACTTTTTGTTTTGTTTTTGTACCTCATCATTAAAAACTTAAAGGAATTGTTACAACATAGCACTTTTTTTATAGGTAAATTATATTATTCATCAGTTAATTATCTTCTCACTCTTTTTCATCATTGAAGTTTATTTTTTTAATTTAATTACTTAACTTTCAAATTACTTCTAATTTAATCACCCAACTTTCAAATTTATTTTTTTATTTTAATTTATATTAATAAAATAATAATAAAATATGTAATGTCACAAAATTATTAATAAAATAAATTAGAATGATTAAAACATGAGTAATTTGAAAGTTGGGTAGTTAAATTGAAAATATTTAAACTTTAGTCACTCAAATTGATATAATTTACCCATAAAAATGTCACATGCAGTAGTTCCGTTGAGTTTCTAACGTCAATGTATTAAAATGAAACAAAAAATAAATGTTAGATATAATTTTGAAATAAATGAAAATTTAGGTACTAAAATGAAACGAAATTGATCATTTAAGCATTAGATATGTAGTTTATCCTTATTTTTTACGGATTTGAATAACATTCGAATTTAAATGTTGATATTAACCATAATGTTTTCAAAGCGATGTAAATATTAAACATTATTATTATTTTTTGAACATTATGTTTGGACATGGTAAGGTAAGGATGAGGGAGGGGGATTTATTTCCCTTGTTTGGAAAAGGAGAATTATATAGGAGGGAGATCTCTTCGTTTTATTTAGGGATGTTATTGGAATGACTTTCCGCCACTTCTAATTGAACAAAGATGAAAATAGATTTTATGTGTGCTGAAACGAAAATTGACACAAAAGTTAAATTTGTAGTGAATGGAGGAGCAGATATAGATATGATTTTTGAAGTTTTTATACTTTGTGATGTATTTAAACATTATATAATTAAATTATCCTTTGAAATTTTTAAAAAGTGTGTTGAAATTATATTTTCATTTATCAAATAAAAGATTTTGATAATTTATTATTATTTAAAATAGTGACAGATGAAATAATGTTAACATATATTAGTCTACGGATAATTGTAAATATATTATATGAAACGAAACGAGTTGAGAGATAATCATTTCAGAGATTAGGTGAGTCGTGAGACTCACATGAACGATGGAATGAGGACAATTTTAATTTTACGAATCACGAGAAAAGAATAATTATTGATTTCATATTCACATTGAATCATGAGACAAAATGAAGATAAATATTCTTGACGGAAATAAAAACTAGATGAATACCCTACATTTATCCCAACACTCTCATAACTTATTTAAGGACCCTAAACCCTGAAAATAAAACTATAACCCCTAAATGAAACATGATTACATTAAAACCTCGCTTGTAGGGTTTTTTTAATATACGATTTCCTCTATTTTATATTTCCTATTTTTTCAATAATAGTTTATACTTAAATTTCAAATTATAATTCTACATTGCGTTCATTTTTTTCTCTTCTACTAAATTATTTAAAAATGCACGTTGTTAAAAGTTTTGATATAAGCTTTACGATATACTGGTAGACCTAATGTAAATTAAGATTAGATGGGGTAACTGTAATTGTTAATATATGTTGTATACAATTTATAATTGCAAAATATTAAACAGTTTCTTTCCTTTGCAATTTTAAATCAAACAAGAAATGCTAAACCCTTCTTTATTAATTATAATTATTTTTTTTAACTTTCATTTCCTTTATTTTCATCTAAGCATAGGGTTCCATATTGTTCCCGATAGGTTTTTGGAATTTTCCACTCCATGAAAGCCGTATTAATCCCTTACTCATTCGAATACCAAAATGCAAATGCTCGTTTGGAACAACATTAAAACACCAATACGATAACCAGACTATTAAACGAAAAGGCATGAAGCAAAACATTGCTAGTAAAAGTACTAATCCTCATAATTAGATCCTCCCCTTTACCATCTTAAGATCTAGGCTTCTCCTTCTTCTCTTTGAAGAGCGCCAAGAGTGAAACACCAGAGACCTTCACAACCTTGAATCGAACACCAGGGATATCACCAACAGCATGACCCTTTCGTCCAAATCCAGCAATCAACACCTCATCCTACATCAAATACACTATGGTCACAACAAGAACATCCCAAGCATGCTTAAACAATATCATAACGTTTCACTCAAGTACTAACATTCTCTTCGATATAGTTTAAACAACCGTCATTTGGAACAAATGCGGCAATCTTTTTTCCATTCTTGATCAGTTGAACTCTGGCACACTTTCGGATAGCAGAGTTCGGCTGCTTAGCTTCAATACCGCTGCAAGACACAAATGCATTAGTAAAAATATTCAAATTATAAACTGTTAACGAAAGCAAGAGTACCAAAAAGGAAAAGAAGATCTAGTCTTACATCTTCTCAAGGACAATGCCTTTGGCATGGGAAGAACCAGCAAATGGCTTCTTCCATTCATTTCCAAGGTTAGATTTTTTGTATGCCTTATCAGCCCACCTCTGCCTCCTACGGTGAGTCCTCAGCTTGCGTCCAGCTCCCATACCACGAGTCTTCCTGAAAAAAAATAATGCCAATGCCTTATACCGAATCCTCAAAGACCGTTACATTGACTTGGGCAATCACTTTATCATATGGGTATCCCATGCCCAAAGTGACCAGACCCCAAAAATAAATTCAAAATTGTAACAACAAAATAAAAAATCACAAAGCATCAAGCCCCAAAACTTCACACCTGAAATTATCCCAAATCAGAACGACCCAAAAATTTCCAAACCCAAATTGACATGTGATACAATCTAAACTGAAACTATTAATTGAAGTAATACCATGTCTGCTTGTCTGAGTATGTGTCAAACTACTGAAAAATGAGTATTTTTGGGGAAAATAAAGAATCTAGGTATCGTAGATCAAATATCATAAAATCTAAACATGAACCTAGGGTTTTTCCATGGTCTTATAAATTATTGAAAATGGAGACGGTAACTCTAACGGTGAAAATGAAAATCAAAAAGTAAATCGAAACACGAATTATTATGGTGTAATTCTCCACGATCATTGCCAGAATCCAAATTAGATAAACTAATATGGAATATCATGTCATCATAAATCACAGTCATATTTCAGTTCAATAATTAAAAACCTAGAGCAAAAAATTATTAAAATAAAACTTCCATTACATCTACAACCAAAAACGGGAACAATACAATCAAAGCTATAAAAAACACTAAACAAAAAGCAGGAAAAAAGAAAACGCTTCAAGATTCCAACCCCACATTTAAAAACCAATACTGGTCGTGGAAAAGAAAAAAAAAACTTTCAATGAATATACAAGAGCAGTACAAACAAGGAATAGAAAGGCCACATAATTGAGCTAAACAGAGAAAAATGAAACATACCCCATGTTGGCCGAGTGGTTTTTCAATGGAAGGAGTGATTCTAAGAGACTGGAAGAGAGACAAGAAGAAACCACAGCCGCCGAGCTTAAGCCTTCAAGGCTCTAACCCTAGAAAGGAATCAAACATATATAATACTTTTAGTGGGCTTGAAGTTTTTGCCCACAATAATATCCTTTTAACAGTTCGAAAAGTTGGGTTCCATTGAGCTTTTCTACGCCTATTGGGTCTTATCAAAACTCGAATACTCGTTTGTCCATTTCATTATTAAAAAAACTACCAATGTAGTCATTGAATTATTATTACATCTTTATTTTAGTTACTAAACGTATTTTTTTTCAATTAAGGTACTAAATTTAGTAAAATTAATCAATTATATAAGTACACATTAAATGGTTAATGAAAATGATGAATTGGTATCTTTTCAATTAGGTTAATAATACATTTAGTCCTTAGTATTTATACATTCTTTTAATTTAATCTTAATTATAAATAATTCAATAAAATTATCCTTTTATATTTGTAGACTATATCAATCTTATTGATGTACAATTAGGGGAATAGAGGTTTGGTGATGTTTTTTGATTTGGGGAGAGGGTCATTAAGGTGGATGTGAGGGTGTCGATCAGAGGTAATTCACCTTTCTTTTAGTTTGAGTAGAGAGTTGTTGGGTAAGATAGTGTTCAAAAGTAAGGACACGACCTCAACCACCTTCTCCAAGGGAGAGATAGAGAAACGAAGAAGAGTCAAAAGAAAGATTATACGTTTCCCTCTTAGAAGAGAGAGAGAGAGAGCCTTTTTATATTTTATGTCTTTAGTGCCACATGATGGTTCCATATGAGTGGAGCATGATATCTATCAGTGAATCATGTGGTTATTATAGATCTATTCGATTACATCGACTGTCTGGTAACACAATGATTATACCTAATGATTACTTGTCAATGGTGTGTTAAATGTGCCTCGATCCCACGGTGACAAGATGTTATAAAATAGGATTTTCAAATAAATTTTGAGATGAGGGTAAATGTGATGTTTCTGAATATTTGAACATGACATCTTAAAGTTTGATGATAGAAAAACTATTATATCATTTTTAATTATTTAGAAATGTGTTTTATTCGACTAAATTTGTCTAAGTAAATGATAGTTCAATTTGAGGTTAAACTGAAAATTAAAAAAAAAAAGAGTAATTGAAAGTTTACGGATCAAATTAAAAAGATGATAAAAGTGGAAGTTCTGCACGTTGATCATCCTAATAGAGATGTTGGCGTTAAATCATAGAAATTTGTAGCACGTGTCAAGTATAAATTAGATATAAATTACATAGATGACGAATAATGTTAAAGTTTTGAATTTCGAAGAATTTAGATATTTATGTTTTTGGGGGCCTTTACGAATTGAATAGAGAGAGAGAGAGGAGATATTCCTTCTTCTTCAACCTTCCAATTTCATGAATCCTAAAGAAACAGTTTATAATTCTAGAACTTTCCTTGAGAGCTTTTGGAACAAAGATTAGAATTTGAAAGCTCCATCATTGTTTCAAGGTTTGGTAAGAAACCCAGACTCTAAATTAAAGTATGTTTATTCTATAATATTGATTTTGATTTTTTATATGTTGAAATGTTTTAAATTGTGTTTATGTGCTTTGGAGAGCAAGATATTGTTGGAATATCAAAAGAAAGAGGTCCAAGCTAATCCAGCAATCCGTCAGAAATAATATAAATTCAAATCGAGTGTGAAATTAAATTCGTATTTATGCTTTGTGAATTTCAATAATATAAATTCAAAAAACTTTCAATATGGAAATTGTGAGATTAAAAAATGTTGGAAAAAGAAAAAAAATAGATTTTTCATAGAAAATACATAAAAAAATTTTCAAAATATATCATAATAATTTTAAACCACTCTCCCCCTCCTTCATCCTGCTGGAAAACATGATAGCAAATTACATAAATTTGGGAAACGGAATTGTGGGATCGTGAAAAATTGTTTGGTAAAACGAATCCCATTTTGAGTTGGAAGAAGGCTCAGAAAAAAAATTGATTATTTTTATGCAGTTGAGAGGGGAGACAGGATTCAAACCCAGATAAGATAATGTATATGTAAATGCAGAGCCACCACAACAATATTAAAACTAGAACTGAAAAAAAAAAGTGTTCCATGTATCGTGTCTCCTGTTAGGGTAAGATCAAGGGACATTGAGAACAAACTTTCCCCCTTCTTTGGGTGCTAAGACTCGAAATTTCAGCGCAAAAGGTTGGAACTTGAGGCAATGTGTATACAATACAGTCAACATGTTTTGTTTCTCTCACAAAACAATTATAAACTAAAATTCAGACCATCATATAAGAGCTACTAGTTTCCCAAATACGTCTGAAACTATTGGGGTCAAAAGAATGATATCAGCAACTACCTTTTCTTCTCTTATTTCTCGCTCTAAAGGCATTGCAAGAAGTGAATAAATCCCGGATAAGGGTTATCAGTTCTAAAACTCGATTCCCCTCAAAATGCAGAGCCACTGCCACCCTTGTTTTTCCTCAGCATCATATCTTTCGCCTCATTAATCTTTGATGCAAGGAAATGGCTCCCACCGGCATCAGGATGATTCGCAACCATCACCCTCCTATGTGCTTCCTTGATCTTTTCCGCAGGAGTACTTTCTCTGATTGAACACAACATATAAGCTTTTTCATGCACAACTCATTTGTAAAAGAAATCACTTGCAAAACGAGTGCAATACCATAAGATAACTGAAGTAAATATATTCAAATAACACTAAATGCAAAACCCAACGGACAAAGTAGGAAGTAAGAAAGCCTTCTGTCATTGGATGATTGAATGTATCAAAACAAGAACCCCAATCTTAAATTAGTCTCAGCTCAACAGCAACAATCCTGAATGATTAATAATCATTCCTCAAATCTAGCCTTAATCAAATAGAACTTACACTTATTTTCTCTATCCTTACATAATCTAACACTTGAACGTCATTTATTTGCCAAATAACCACAAAATCAAGCAACCCCATTTCATTAAAATCAACTTTCAACTAAACAAAACGAATTCACGACAAAAAGCATAAATTTTGATGATGCAAAAAAGGGGCCATCTCATTGATGATTAAGGTCATGGTCGGATGATTGAAAATAAACTTGAACCCAAATATTGGATCAATTAACCTCAACATGATTACCAATCATCCCTAAGAACTAACATCAATCAAACACATAAATTCATTAATTTGCCGAATAACCACAAAATCTTTTTAAAATCAGCCCTCAACATCAACGAAACGATTTCATGACTAGGATTGTAAATGAAACGAAATAGATCGTGAGCTATTCGAGATCCATTTCGAGTTTGAGGCTTCAATTGAGTTAAGTTTAAGAATTTTTTTTTTCATTTCGAGCTTTTTCGAGCTGCTCACGAGTTTCAATTCAGGATTTCGATTTCGAGTTTAAAAATTTTAACCTCGTGCTCGACTCGTTTACACCCCTATTCATGACATAAAGCAAAAAATTTGACACGGGAAAATGGGTTATCTCATTAACTGTAAGAGAAAGATACTGATATTACCTAACCCCCAGAATCAAAGCGGCTTCTCTCCTTGTCATACTAGGCTGAAACCCACCTTCATAAAATCTTCGAACCCTAACCGTCGGCGGTCTTGCCTTAAACGCCTGCCATGCCCGAATGCTATATCTCCCCGCATAAGCAGCAGCTGCCACCGCGATTCCGGCTATCAAAGGAGCAACCTAACAAAAAATACCCCCAAATTGTTTTATGTAAATTTAATTATTAAATCCCTATAATTTTTTGTTGTTGATAAATCCCTCTAATTTTCGATATAGATGAACAAGAACGAAAAGAAATTTAATCCATTTAAGGGACTCACCATTTCTGACGTATCTGAGATACCTGTGGACTGTTGCATTCCGTTTCCAAAGACTAGGTTTTTAGGGTTTTTGTGTAATGAGAAAAATGACCCTTTGTGTGTTATTTATGTCACCCACCCGCCACCGCCACTGCCTTTTACGTATTTCCCAAGGAAAACAATTCTCGTGGTTAAATTATATTACTAGTCACCAAACTATTATCCTTTTTTATTTTGATTACCAAATTAAAGTTTTATAAATTTGATCACTAACATTTAGTATTTTTCAATTTTGATCATTGATAATTAAAAAATTATTTAAAAAATAGTTTTGAGTATCAAAGGACCAACTCAAAGATATTGATTTTAAAAGTCATAATTAATTATTTAAAAGATGAACCTCAAATATATTATATAAAATCTTAATATTTTAAATATAACTATAGAAATTATGGTACTTATAAGTATTAATAGTATTGCGCGTATTAATTCAAGTTTTTTGTTGATTTTTTTAAAGTTATATCTAGTTTAATTTATAGTTTTTTAAAAAATATACTTCAATTATGTATGTAGAAATATATTTATATATAAATATAAAAAATTTAAATAGTTAATTAGATAAAAAATAATTTAAATATTATATATAATTATAAAAAATAAAAAATATTAAATATTAAATTTATATTAAAAATATAAAACTTGTATTAACACATTAAAACGTGTATATTATTTTGAGTTGATTACATCATATGCCCTCAAAGACCTTCATTCTAAATTGGTCCATAAACTTTTAAATATTTTAATTTCATCCCCATACTATGACCTTTCTAAATTGGTCCCAAACTTTTTGAACATTCCAATTTCTTCTCGAACTTTACGTATATAATAATCACATCACTTGTTAATAAGATCGTTAGACCAAGTTATATTACTATATGTTTGGGGGGAAGCACAATTTAGGTTTAATTATGATTGAAACTAATTACATATTTGGAAAATTTTGAGGATAAAATTGAAATATTGAATAGTTTAGGAACCAGTATAGAAAGAGGGTCATAGTTTAAGGATAAAATTAGAATATTTAAAAATTTAAGTTCTAATTAAGAATGAGAGTCATTTTAGGGATGAAATTGAAGTATTTAAAAGTTTAAGTATCAATTTAAAATAAGGATTATAATTTAAGAACATGACCCAATTAACTCTATACTTCTGCAATGTTATAGTCATAAGCTTTTTACAATTCTTACTTCAAGTCTTGTTCATAGCTTTTCTATCCCAAACGCATATTAACACAGGAGCAAGCATCTTCCCCCAACTTCGGCATCAAGTAATTTTTTATTTATAAATGTAGATTTAATCTTTTTTATATTAAATAACCGAATTATAATAGTTTGCATTTATTTAAAACCTAAATCAAGCTTAAGATACAGTACAGCCCTGAATCGGAACACAATAGAAAACTGAACGAAATGACAAAAAAGGGCTGTGTAAAATCTGTGTTATCCGTTCCAACGCCTTAGCTAAGGAAGCAATCAGCACATAAATTGGAAGAAAAAAATATCAAATATCAAGCAAGGTTGGTATAAAAGCAAATCAACAACAGTTTATAGCAGAACTTAACAACATGAAATATAAGTTCCAACAAAAGTCCAAAATTAAAAGATAGTTGTCCTAGATGTAATAAAAGCAATATCTCTATCAAATGTAACCACCTCATTTCTTCTTGGCAGCAGACTTGGTGACCTTGGCACCAGTTGGATCCTTCTTCTCAACACTCTTGATGACACCGACAGCAACAGTCTGGCGCATGTCACGAACGGCAAAACGTCCAAGAGGTGGGTACCCGGAAAAAGTCTCAACAACCATGGGCTTGGTGGGAACCATCTTCACCATCCCGGCATCACCGTTTTTCAAGAACTTAGGCTCCTTCTCAAGTTCTTTACCAGATCGTCTATCGATCTTGGTCAACAGTTCAGCAAATTTGACAGCAATGTGGGAGGTGTGGCAGTCAAGGACGGGGGCATATCCATTTCCAATTTGGCCAGGGTGGTTCATGATGATCACCTGGGAGGTGAAGTTGGCAGCTTCCTTGGCAGGATCATCCTTGGAGTTTGACGCAACAAAACCACGCTTAAGATCCTTAACAGCAACATTCTTAACATTGAACCCAACATTGTCACCGGGGAGAGCTTCTGGGAGGGATTCATGGTGCATCTCGACAGACTTAACTTCAGTGGTTAGACCAGAGGGACCAAAAGTAACAACCATACCAGGCTTTAGGACACCAGTTTCAACACGACCAACAGGGACAGTTCCGATTCCGCCAATCTTGTAGACATCCTGAAGTGGGAGACGGAGTGGCTTGTCTGAGGGTCTCTTTGGCTCATTGATCTGGTCAAGAGCCTCAAGGAGAGTGGGACCCTTGTACCAGTCAAGGTTTGTAGACCTTTCAATCATGTTATCACCCTCAAAACCAGAGATGGGAACAAATGGTATCTTCTCTGGGTTGTAGCCAACTTTCTTAAGATAAGAAGAGACTTCCTTGACAATTTCATCATACCTCACTTTAGAGTACTTCGGGGTAGTTGCATCCATCTACACCAGATCACAATAAAAAATCAGTTACAGTTGCAAAATCACCACATTTATCAAAAGGGGACACCGGTACATCAATTACAATGTAATACAATAACTTTACCTTGTTGCAGCAGCAAATCATCTGCTTGACACCAAGGGTAAATGCAAGCAGAGCATGCTCACGTGTCTGGCCATCTTTAGAGATACCAGCTTCAAAGCCACCAGTGGTTGAGTCAATAATGAGTACCGCACAATCGGCCTGTGAGGTACCAGTGATCATGTTCTTTATAAAGTCGCGATGTCCAGGTGCATCAATGACAGTGCAATAGTATTTGGTGGTCTCAAACTTCCACAAGGCAATATCAATGGTAATACCACGTTCACGCTCAGCCTTGAGCTTGTCGAGCACCCAGGCATACTTGAATGACCTTTTATTCATTTCAGCAGCCTCCTTCTCGAACCTCTCAATCACACGCTTGTCAATACCACCAAGCTTATAGATCAAATGACCAGTGGTGGTCGACTTACCAGAGTCAACATGGCCAATGACCACAATGTTAATGTGAATCTTCTCCTTACCCATTATAAAACTCGGGAGAGAACCTGAAAATTGACAGCAACCAATTCACAAAACAAATCATACACAAATTCAAGATCAAACAAAACACAGTTCCATCGCCTAATATATGTGTATATTAATGAATAAAAAATAACAAATTCAACATCTGGTTTAAATAAAGATATAAAGAATAATTCAACTTAATTTCAAAAAGCGATCTATCCGAGTTAAAATTCAACAGGTTCAACAATGATAAAGAGTGGCCGCTGGGATTCGAACCCAGATCCTCCATAGATATGGTGTTCTTTCCACTAAACTACAGCCACTAGATCTTAAATATCTTTTTCCATAAAACCGATCAAAGTTTTGCATTCAAAACAGTAAAGCCTCAGAAAAAAATGGCTTACTATTTTGAAAATTTTCGTTAATAGATTTCACTTATTTTGCATTTGCTTCAGTAGATCAGTTATCACGTGAAAAATTATCTCAGACGGAATTTTAAAAATTTTAAACCATACAATTTAAACGAACACTGATGCATAAAAACACATCGATCAAATCAAACCAAACAAGAACCAGATCCGGGACTACGCAGAAGTATTATCCAGGGAAAAAAATCAAGTACAAAGAAGCAACTCGAACCGAGGAAAATAAAAATTAAATTTACATAAACAACAGCTAAATCACATAAAAATGAAACTAATATATCACCAAACAACCAATCAGATCTTATTATACCTCCAATCAATCAATAAAAGTTAAGAAATAATAAGAAGCGGATCTATACCTGTAAGCTTAAAAAGAAGACTAGTTGAGAATCGCTAAACAAAAAGCTCCCTACGTCGCAGCGCAAGAGAGCGTTGAAAGCAAATGATAGAGGAGAAGAAATGCAGCCTGCTTTAGCTTAAGTAGTCACTCTATCGGCTTTGGTTTAACTAGGGTTTTTTTCTTATCCGTTGGATTATTTTTAATCCAACGGTTAACATTTGATATCTCACATCAGCCGAATATTCTATGGTTCTTTCTGCGTAGGATTAGATGCCCTAATTTCGTAGGATTAGGTACCCTTCAACCTTTCGCAAAATTAAACGATTGCTCTTCAAACGAGCAATTCGATTAATTGATCGAATCTAATTATTCAAATTTCATTAATCGATTTTTTTAATTAATCGTTAACTGAATTAGATTTTTTCTAAAAAAATTTAACCGAACTGAACTATGTTCGGTTAATTGATTAGTTAACCAAATTAATTGAATTAATCAAAATTTATAAATAATATATAACTAATATATATTATATATTAAATATTAAATATTTTTTGGTTTATTCAGATAATTTTTTCAGTTAATTCGATAAAAACCAAGTTCAAACACTCGTAAATCTAAATAATATATATAATATATTAAATATTTAATAATTTCTGTTAATTCGGTTAATTAACCGATTTCGAACCGAATTAATCGAAACTTAAATTTAAAAAAAATATTAATCGTTAACCAATCAAAATCAAAATTAATCGACCGAAATTTCGATTTGATTGATTAATTCAATTTTTAACCGAACATTGAACACCCCCGACTTGAACAGCTGATTTTACCTTTTATTCTACATATTGCATGAATTGTACGATTTTAGTAATTGATAAATTATTATTTATTTTTAAAGTCTCATATTCGATTATCACATGTGTAAAAGATAGAAATGTTTAATGTTAAATAATTAATAATCTTTAAACAAATAACATATTATATTACTTTAAGTTAATAAAAAATTAATTTAATACATTATTAAGAATTCTAAATTATTTTATTTGATTGATATAAAATTATGATATTTAATTGATAAATGTAAAATTATTTAAGAGTGAAATTGACTAATAGGAAATAAGATTATGATCAATTTTATCGAAATATGGAATAGTATTATAATGTTTAGTTGTAGGAGCCTAAAATTATCTTAAAATATATTTTGTTAAATTATTCTTTTTTATAATTTTTTTTAAAAAAAATTAAGTCTTCTAATATTAAATCTGAAAAAAACGAGAGTAATAATATTTTTAATTTTCATAAATAAAGTTGAAAATTTTCAATTTAAAAAAAAATATGAGAGAAATATATGTCAATTTATAGTTATATAGTTTTCAAATTTATTTATTTTTTCATTTCCCATCTCTATCAAATAATAAAAAAATACAAATTCCTTTGGATATTTTTCCTTCTTATGAATTACACTAATAAAAATAAATAAATATATTTTCGATCTTTTAACATTCTACCTTTCAATTTTTCATCCCTTCACTTTTCTTTTCACTTTACCTTTAATGTTTTCAAACCTAAACATCTTACGTTGGATATATTAAGTTCAAATTGACAACTGAAAATTGCCTAAAATGGGTGAATTAGCTTTTTTAGAGTTTAGGGAGTAAGAAGTAAAATTATAGGAAAACTTACACATCAATTTATAATAATTCGACTTATCAACCAAGTCTACATCCACTACCTTAGCTCATCACTAAGGATTTTCCAACAAATTAACTAATTTGTTCTTTATTTTTCAAGGATAAAGAGATAACATTTACAACTCCCTAGTTTTCACTTGGATAAACTAGAAATAAAAACCCCATTACAAAGGATAAAATAATGTAAACAAGAAAACTCTTACAGGGTAGGTGTTTACAAGATTAAACTCACAAAAGCACAAATATTTACAAGAGAAAGGAAATGTAACACCCTTAACCCGTATCCGACTCGGATACGAATCCGATGCGTCACATTGACTTTTAAAAGTACTTTGACTCTTTAAAAATCCGATTGAAATTTGATAAAGAAAATAAAACTTAATAAAACACAGTTAAAATACATATCAGATTATCTAAACTTTACATTTATCGTACATGCCAACAACATTTACCATACACAATCACATACAATTTAAAATCTCTCTGATATGATAATCTTCAAAGGTATGTTGTCCTGCTCCTCGCTTACATGTATTACTTCTTGCATAACTTTGAACCTACGTGTGAAAACACTCACACGCTAAGTCGTTGACTTAGTGAGGCATTATAAGTACTATGACTCTATAAAACATTTGTATACTTTTATAAAAGAAAGGTTAAATTATCAAAAGTCACCAGTGTTATAACTTATAACATCTCTTATTAATTACTGAAGAATTTATACTTATTTTATTCTTGATTATATCTTCAAGTCATTTCTCATATAGACTTTTAGTTTCATATAAACTACATAGAATGATATATTTTTCATTTTATAACCATTTGTTTAATTTACCCAAACGTATAATACAGAGAACTCTAGGTATTTGAGTACATTGAGGTTGTGCACTAATGCTGTCACCACAGCTCGTAATTTGCACCGAAGTGCCACATAATTGTCATGAATGACCACATAGGTTTGCACCGAAGTGCCACATTTTGTCCCAAATGACCACATAGGTTTGCACATAAGTGTCACATAATTATCCCAGAGGACCACATAATTGTCCCGGAGGACCACATAAAACCCTCGACTCTTGGCATGCCAACTATACCTCTAATCCTCATACATATACTTTGGGCTATTAATCATATAATTATGTTCAATCATTATTCAAAGTGTTTCTTATTCACATAGTTACTCTCACATAGAGTTATTTTCACATTCACTTGTTCAAAGTTCACATTTTCACTTGCAATTTATGTTCCATGGAACATATTCACATAACACATATTCATATAATCTTTCACATACATCTTATTCACATAGCATTCTCAAATGTTATTATTTATTCACAATCAAACATTTATTCATGATATATTATTTCATAAAGCAATTATCGTTATTTTCATTTAATGACATATATCATATTTTCATAGTGATTTACATAATTATTTAATATCACATATCATTATTCAACGAATTCATTTTCTTGTATAAAACATAATCATATAAAAACTCTTCACATATAATAATATCATTTCATCTTTTTCAAAACATTTTAGGTTGGCTTATCACAAGCCTTCCGTCAAACATCAATAAATTATGTAAATAGCACTTACCTTTGCCTCATTGAAATCCTAAGCGAATTCCATAACACTTTTGGATAAGTACTTAATATGTCGAGCTGATCGGAAGCTGATTACGATCAACCACTACACAAAACAAATCAAAAATCAATATCGTTCTTGAAATCATTATATCCAATCAGAATAACTTGTGATACAAGAAACTTTTACTTTTCATTTCATGCCTAGAAGTATCGGTACTATCCCTTCAGTACCGAAACTTCTCTTCAAGGGTATCAATGCCTCCTCAAGGTACCGATACCAAAAGGACATTCGATGTTTGCATCTTAAAATTGGTATCGATATCATTCTTCGGGGTATCGATACTACCCTTACAGTATCGATACCTCTTCAACAGGTATCGATACTACCCTCAAATTTCACAAATTTTCCCTTAAAGTATCAGATTGTTCTGACGGTATCGATACTCGAAGCCCATAATTGCCATTTTCACTTCGAAAATCACCAAAAACTCCTCGCAGTCTCTTATATCATCCTTCATTAAGTCCTTAAACTATACTTCTTTCATTCAAACCAACTTGTCATCAATTACTACTCTTAAACATACCAAATTCCAGCCAAAAATCTTATCTCTAAAAATTATACCATATTTTCAACCAAGCTTTTAATCATTTCTAATACTCCCAACCCTTTGATTAGCTCATTGACAAGTCAAATATCTTAATAGAACTTCAAAAACCACTCTATATCAAAATTTCATTTCTACACTCATTTTACCAATTCATCTCTAATTTGCTCATCTTGTTGTTTTAATCTTATATAAGCTTTTCTTAAGCTTATATAACACCCAAACTTCCAATACCCAACCAAAAATTGAAGAAACCCACAAATTTACAAAAACTTACCTTTAGCCATGGAGTTCACAGCATGAAGAAGAAGAGAACATAAATGGTTCCAGAATTTTCCTCCTTATCCATGTGTTATATCCCTTAAAAGAGAGAGAAGATAAAATCTTTTAGGTGAAAATACCATAATGCCCTTCCACTAATCCAAATTTAATATCAAGTCATGTTCGAAAATTTTCAAATAAATTCTTGAAATTTCAAATTATTCTAATTAAACCGCTAAATTTTGAGTTCTTACATTTTCACTGACCCGATGATTGGGATGTTACAAATCTCCCCCTTAAGAAAATTCATCCTTGAATTTTCATTACAAAGAGGTGAAGATATTGCATCTTTATTTCTTTTTCACGTTCTCAGTAGCTTCTTCCACTTTATGGTTTCTCTAAGAACCTTAACTATCAGAAACGTTATGTTTTTTAACTGCTTGATTTCATATGCTAAAATTTGAACCAGTTTCTCTTCGTAAACTAAGCTAGATTGAACTTTTATCACATCTGGAGCTATGATGCGTGCAGGATCTAATCGATATCGCTGAAGCATAGACACATGGAAGAAATTATGAATCTTTCCATCTCTGATGGCAACGCTAACTGTTATACCACTATCCAATCCTCTTAAGAACTTTATAAAGTCCAATGAACTTAATAGTAAGTTTTCTTTAACGTCCAAAGCGAAAAACTTCCTTCCAATGTGATACTTGCAGAAACACTTTGTCACCTACTTGAACTCAATTTCTTTGATCAAGTCTGGCTGCACTACGTCTCAATTTCAATTTGAACCATCTTAATGGTGTTTGACATTTCCTTTTACATAAAACTTCACATAAACTATCTTGATACCTTTCTTAAACTTGCTGACATACCACTCACTAAAATAAACCAACTTGATGAATTTTTTTTAGACAATCACATAATCAACATGTAACCCCCTCAGACCGATGCGGATAGCCCGAT